CATCTAAGGCAGAAGGGTAAAGCTTTGGTTTTGGGTGTCTAGTGGATCTTGAACTGAGGAATATTATTCTTGCCTTTGTACAAAGAACAAACAAAAATAAGGGAGAATATGTTCACTGCGGAACATTGATTCTTTTTGGAGGATGCAGCTTTGCTGACCATAACCATGCTTTGCAAAAAAAATGTGACCTGCAAGGTAAGAAAGCTGGGCAGGACCCAATGTTTCTTCTTGAATGTGTATGCTCATGTCTTTCCCTTTCGGGATAGCAAGATGTCCGCTTCCTATAAATTATTCTACCAAAAAAGTAAAACTGACTAGAATTTATTTTTGTTTACCCCTCTCCCAGAGAATGTAGTAGAAGACTTTGACCATGGAGCTATTCCAGACATCTGATAAAAAGCATACTTTTGAGAGCTGAAAACTTGTTTTTAGATGCATCGTTTAACTGAGACTGGAATAGCTCTCTGCGTGTGAACGTACATCATGTGTACACGTGTGCACTCCCCGAGAGGATGGGAGTCCATTACGTAGTCTGGCTTCAGATTTGTGCAAATAACGCTTACCGTGTACACTCAAAGCAAATACTGCACTATGCAGTTGCCACTTTTAAATGTTTTGCACATGCTGGTGAGGTTTTTCGGGGCTTTTCTTTTTTTTTTTTTTTTTTTTCCAGTACTCAGATCAGTTATACCACAGTGTGGACTAACTAGTTGCCAAAGGTTATTTTTAAATGCATCTTCGACATTGTTACATGCCACATCTTCTAAAAAAAAAAAAAAAGTCTTAAATGTGTCTTTGAATAGTTTTATGTTCATGGAACAAAAGTTTGGACTTCTTTTTTTTACTTAAAACACTTGCTTTTCTGTTGAGACCATGCGTTGCAGAAGGTTTTCATCTCAAAGCAGGGTTTTTGGCAGGGGGTCTAACAGGATAGTGATGAACCTTTGGAAAATGGGGGGGGTCTTTTAATGGAGACGCTGAATGAAGTGTAAGCAGCGCAGCAAGGAGAGGGTGGGAGGCGTTGTGTTGGGAGCCCGTTTCAGCCCTTGAGCAGTACATGCAGCAGAGCTGTACCAATAACTGGAAGCTGTTGTGTTTGTGGGGTTTTCTGTTTGTTTTTATTTTTTTTGGCGGGGGGGAGGGTTATTTTTTTCTGAACACAGGAAGGCTTTGAGGGTGGCCTCTGCATGGTTCCTAGTGTGTGCTGTGTGCTGGGGGGGCGGGGGGGTTACAATACTTGGGTTTGCTCTAGGCTCATCTGGAGATGTGTTGTGTTTTTTTTGGCTAGCATGTCTTAAATCTTCAGGCTTCAAAACTGCTTTATAGAATTGTGTTGACTTTTTGTTCTGCTGTTGTTCAGTTGCACAGAGTTTTATATATATGATGTACTAGTTTTAACGTTAATTCTCTGTGAACAGGGTTGAGATTATTCATTGTAGTTGAAAGAAAAAGTTGTATTCTAAAACTCCCTTTTAAAATCTTGTTTGTATTCTGTTGCAGTGTTACCAGATGGCCTTATGTACGTCACAGTGTTTTGTGATAAGTACAGTAGCACATTTAATGCTTATCTCCCCCTCCCCTCTGTTTTTATAGCTGAGAAGTATATTCTTAATAAAAGAGATGAATAAACAAGGAAAATTCTAGCAACGTGTATGGTAAGGATAGTGGTTGTCTCCTCTAATGTATATTAGGACACCTGGAATTAATCTGGGACTGAAATGACTCTGAATAGGGATCATTAACCAGCATGAGACTTTGTCTTGGGAATTCTGAGAATCTTTGAGCGAGCCGATGGCAGATGTGAATCGTATGCCAGAAGCTTGTAAATCAGCCCAGATCTGTTGGCTTCACTGCAACTGGTCTGACTTACGCCGGCTGAGAATCTGGTCTTCGCAGCTTTTTGTGTATGGCTCAGATGATAGAGTCGGGGAGGGAAGTTTAAGTTAAATTTTAGAGAACTTAAGCAACCTAATCAGCTGTGGTAATGTGTGACAGTTGTTGTTCTGTTTATTTTTAAAGTGCACATCTGTTTTGGAAAGTGACTTTCTGATGCCTTTAGTGTTTACTCCTCGATTGAATTTTTAGGTTAACCTGGGTTCTTTGCAAATTGGCAAGATGACAGCTGCAGTGTTTTTGTACTACAGCAGCTCCGACATCTCTGCTTGGGGCAGACACTCCTGTCAGTTAACCGACTCTAACTCTGGACTGGATTCCATTTTACTTTCTACTAAAATTACAGGAACCATCAGTGGTAAAAATTACAGTGAAAGCAGCAGAGATAATGTTTTCAGTTACTCTTTCCAGAACAGAATTGCATCTTTTTATATATCTATCTCTACCTGTATCTATCTATAGAGTACCAAGTCAAGAGACAAAGCAGGTTATGTTGTAGTGAGTGTCTTAACTTCCTACACTGGAGACTTTTTCTAGACACGGTCTTTTAGAGACAACTGTAATCACACCGCTGTGGTGCTCTCCTTACAGTTGGGTCAACTTGCCTGGGAGAGAATAGCTTCTCAGTCTAACTTTTACTGAAAATAAAACCGTATAATAAGAGTATCTTAATGCCATTGTGTTTAAAAAAAAAAAAATGCTGGTATGTTAATGCAAGTACATAAATAGCCAAAGTTTTCAGTAATTGTTCAGTGTTACTAAATTTGCTTTTATTTAACCTTCCAAGATAACATATTAGGAAGACCTTCAGCATGTTGATATCATATTGGAAAAAAAGTCTGATCAACTTGATTATAGCAGATATGCAGTTATTTGAACACATTTCAGGTTTGAATACAATTTGGAGGCAAAGTTCTAAAACGCAAAACTTACTTTGGAGGAAGTGCACTGTAATGACACTTCAAAGTAACAAATGCCGCTTTTAGAGTAGCGTATTGGCAGTTGTTATTCAAACATAATGAAGGTCTTTCCTGAGAAATCAGGTGACTTTTCTATTGCTTCAATTTTTGTGCAAAAAAAAAAAAAAAATTCAATGTATTGCAATCTTTTTTAAAAATGGGGTGGGAATAGTTAAAGAAAACTATTTTATGTAAGAACTGACAGAGGGATTTGCTTTGTATAATGCAAGCTGGCTTTAAAAAAGCATTGTAGCAAATTATTCAAGTCAATCATATGTTAATAGTTATGTGCAACCAGACATGCAAAACAATTGTATTTTTTTAAATAAATATTTTTAACAAAGTTTCTGATCTTTTGACTATTTTTTTCAGTAGAGGAAATTGAAAGTTACAGCTGCAGGGCAGCTCGCCCTGTGATAACGAGGGAGTCGATCGGACCTTGAGCTAACCTGTGCCTTCAGAGCAGCACAGGCGCTCTCCCGTTGCGCTGGAGGGGAGACAGAGCCGGAGCTGCTGCTCCTGTAGCTCTGTAGTGCTGCGCAGTCTTTTTTGCCAAATCAGGTCCTATTCTCTTCTGGTGAGAATTTCCTTTGGTGAGTAGCTCTGTTCTATATATAGTGCTGATAGCAAAGTGAAGATTTGAATTGTCAAATACACTTCTAACAAAAGAAGTGTTACTCTGGCAATAGGATTTAGCTACGTATTGTCAATCTACAAGGACATAATAAGATACATTTTTTATTTTGTTAAATAGCTGACAGTCCTTGGTGTGATATATATGTGATCTGAGTAGACTTCTTTCAAACCAGACTCCCTCATTGTATTGTTTCATGCTCGTTTCCTCTGTACGGGGATGGAGAGAATGCTGTCATGGTGGGAGGGTCTCTATTAATGACAGATTGGCATTTTTGCTGCAAATAGACACTTTTTTCAGAATGAGTATCTTAAGGAGAGTAACAGTGGCATCCTGTGGTGCTAGAGAAGAAGTACAGCACATAGATACTGCATGGGATGTGAGGCAGGAGGGCTCCTGAAGTCCACGGATGAGTTAAGCCCAGAATTCAACTGCATTTACCTCCTTCCTACATGGGCCTCATGTGCCCTCAGCTTTAGGTATACAAAGTCAATTCAACAAGTCTACTCTCTTGAGACTGCTTCTACAGAACCACCCGTGGGAGCTTGTGAAGATATTTTATGGAAGGTAAGATCTACTGCTTGGAAAAAGAGAAATGCTAAAAACAGTTAAACAGCTGTTAAATTCAGTCTGAGTTTGAAAGCTAGAACTGGTGAAGGGGAGTGGCTGATAGTCTTGGGTAGAAACAGTTTAAGTTACCTGAGTCCAGTCATGCTGAGAATCTAGCAATCAATCACCTTTAATTAAACACTGCTTTATATACACACGTACATATGTACATCCACATACAGCAGTTAAAGCAAAAAGTACATGTCCAATCACTCACTGAAGAAATAGATGTACGTAGCTTTACACTTTTCTAAAGCCAGTCCTTTCTTCATCACTTGTAATAGGTCATGCGTGGGTTATGAGAGTACCTTACAGAAGGCACCTGTTATAATAAGTAAGTATTGCACAGATTAAGCAGCTGGAGGCTGGCTCCCAAATACCTCTGTTTAAGCTTCAACTGGAAGCTAGAAATAAAACCACCCTAAAAGACACTGCAACTGTAGCAGCTGAACTACTGACTTAAAGCAAAACAAACCGTCACAAGGACTCATTCTTGACTCAAAAAAAAAAGCTAATGATTTTAATAATCAAGGCCCTAGCATGCTGAATAAGACAGTGTCTTAGTGAACATGTCTGATGCTGTGTAATATACAAGAATCAACTGTGCAAATATAGATAGGTCCTGCTACCACTGTGCACTGGGTGGGTTCTACCAATTGTGTAATTTTTCCCCTCTGGAAGTATACATGGAGGTGGCATACATATACTGAACTCAGCATTGCACAAAAATTAATTCAAATCCAGTATTGTATTGTGCTGTAAATTGTAGGGGGTTCCATAATGTTTAACAGGCCAAAAGAAAAATACGTTGAGTTCAATGACTAAGCCAAGAGATACTCAGTCTTGCATATGGAACAGAGAGAACCTCTTTCTTCCTGCCCTCCATCCTGAATTGGTAAGAAAGTTCATTTGCAGGAGTAACTGTTCTCCCATCACCCCTGCCATATACTGGAGCCTTTCAGACACAGGGTCAGTCTGACGCTTACAGTCTTCATTTTGGTACATGTGGCACAGGCAACTTGTGCTTAGCTTGACGCAGTGTTTTAGGATGTTTTCTTGATTCTGACTTACCCAATCTAATGTGCTTTCGATTGCAGAAAACTCACATGATTCAGTCATTAAATGTGAAATCATCCTTAATAGTAGTGCTTAATTGTGTGCTGTTTTATTGCTTGTCTAGGGCTTGGCCACTTCTTTAGCGCTGATACTGTCCGGTGTCATCCATTACTGCTGGTTTGTCAGGCGAGGCTTCATCCATATCTGTAAAATTGAAATTAGTGTCTTCATCTGAAGGTACCAGTTCTGTTGAGGTTTGAGGGAACGTGCATGAGCACTCCCAAACATGGATGTTGCTGTTCTATCACCCACCACGCTAGCTGATTTACTTTGCTGGTCATGGAAGAAAGGCCCCTATTTCCAGTAACCTGCACTAGTTTTTTGCCTGTCATGCAGTACTCCTTTTGGAAGAGGTGCTTATGAAAACAAACAGCATATGCAGATTGAGATGATACATAAGAGAAATCCTTTATCAGTGAGGCTTTTCTCAAGAGCCTGACCCACTTCCATGGATTTTAGCCAGGGAACAGCCTAAGGAAGCTTGTGCAGTCTGTGCTAGGAGGACTTACTCCTGCTAGCTCTGCAGTAGCATGGTAGTGCTTTCACAGCTATAGCCTCCGATGTGTTTATAGCTCCTCTGTGATCCACAGACCGTTCCTACTTTTTCCCTTGCTTCTCCAACAGAAAAGAAAGCAAACCCCGAGCTGTGGCTGCCAAGGCTTTGTGGGCAAGTCAAAGCAGGAAGAGGGGACAGGAAGCAGCAGTAAAATAAACATTTCCTTGCATTTTGCTGAAGTGCTGCACCCTGGTTAGGTATTGATGCACATGCC